ACATAGTCTTAGATGGGAACTAGGATATGTACTGAGAATATTGGTGAGTGTGATACTGACCACAGCAGACATAGTCTTAGATGGGAACTAGGATATGTACTGAGAAGTAAATATTGGTGAGTGTGATACTGACCACAGCAGACATAGTCTTAGATGGGAACTAGGATATGTACTGAGAAATATTGGTGAGTGTGATACTGACCACAGCAGACATAGTCTTAGATGGGAACTAGGATATGTACTGAGAATACTGGTGAGTGTGATACTGACCACAGCAGACATAGTCTTAGATGGGAACTAGGATATGTACTGAGAATATTGGTGAGTGTGATACTGACCACAGCAGACATAGTCTTAGATGGGAACTAGGATATGTACTGAGAATATTGGTGAGTGTGATACTGACCACAGCAGACATAGTCTTAGATGGGAACTAGGATATGTACTGAGAATATTGGTGAGTGTGATACTGACCACAGCAGACATAGTCTTAGATGGGAACTAGGATATGTACTGAGAATATTGGTGAGTGTGATACTGACCACAGCAGACATAGTAGTCTTAGACTGGGAACTAGTATATGTACTGAACTAGAAGTAAAATATTGGTGAGTGTGATACTGACCACAGCAGACATAGTCTTAGATGGGAACTAGGATATGTACTGAGAATATTGGTGAGTGTGATACTGACCACAGCAGACATAGTCTTAGATGGGAACTAGGATATGTACTGAGAATATTGGTGAGTGTGATACTGACCACAGCAGACTTAGTCTTAGACGGGAACTAGTATATGTACTGAGAAGTAAATATTGGTGAGTGTGATACTGACCACAGCAGACATAGTCTTAGATGGGAACTAGGATATGTACTGAGAAGTAAATATTGGTGAGTGTGATACTGACCACAGCACTCACTGAGCCCTGGCTGGTGGGTAAAGAATAAGGGAACACAATTGCCAATTAAACCTCCAACGGTTTTTTTCCCCCTTGTTTAAATTACAGATTTAATACCGTATACTTGGGTGTCACCTGGACCAGCAGTTTAGCCATCTTTCAGGAGTACGACAACTTTTCTTATTATTATTTTAGATTTTTTTCTCAGTTATATTCAATCTCCAACATTTGCAGACTGGGTATTTGAAGAATCCTTTTAAGACTGGTCTATACAGGAGTTCCTCAAAGAACTGAACCAGAGATCTGTATTGGCGAGTTAACACAGCACGGAGTGTTGGAACTAGGAATCCAGCATGAGAGGATGCACCAGTAATTTATGCAACATGCAATCGAAAGGGCCACTAACACACAAGTGCTGCGTAAATAAACGCGCTAAAGAGTTGCCTTAGTGCACTGCATAAATGATAAAGCATCTGAACATTTCATGTTCTCATAGATATAGGTCAGAAAATGAATGCATGGACTAAACTAAGATCAACTGAAACAGAATACAAGTCAAGAACCCTTTTCCACTTTCTTTAGTGGTACTGGGCACACAGACCTAGACCTATATTTTATAGATGAATCTATGAAGCACGTTGCAGACAATACTACTCCGGCCGCCTTTACTTTCCAGGACTTTACCTGGTACCCATTTAAGGCTGGGTGGACCTGAGAACTAAAGTCAAAACAAAAAAAGTCCGGCTCGTAAAGACCTGAATCCACGACCTTTGGAATCGTAGGCGTGGGTCTACCGCTACACCACGGCGGCTCCCGAAACAGAATTATCTGTTTAAATTAAATAGAATTTGTGCACGTGTGGGCTGCAAAGCTCCCAGGGGGGGGGGGGGGGGGAAATAGACCTACGGCTCCTTAAAAAGCTGTAAGCGACTAACTGTGGATTGCTGATGTGTTGGTACTAAGCGCAGAAATCATAGGCTAGCTCACAACACAAAGTGCCAACCACCCTTTTAATGCCAACTCATCATCATCATCATCATGATCGGCAGCAGAAGAAAAAGAAGAAGAAGAAGAAGAAGAAGAAGAAGAAGAAGAAGAAGAAGAAGAAGAAGAAGAAGAAGAAGAAGAAGAAGAAGAAGAAGAAGAAGAAGAAGAAGAAGAAGAAGAAAAAAGGGGGGGGGGATACAATTCCAGATGGGTGGATCATCAGTCAGGAAGAAAGAAACAAATTTCACAGGAACGACAACTGCATATAACGGTTTAAGAACCACAGCTGATAAACACAGGTGCATAACAGCAGCAAGGAAGATACACACAAATAAAAACAGAGATAGACAAACACAGATGAGACATTAGAAAGGTTGACTGACCGACCGACCGACCACACACACTCACACACACGTACATATACACACAAACACATACACACTCTCTCCTATATATAACTGGGACAGATATACAAACAGATAAAAGGGTAGCTAGAAAGAGATAAACAGAACTAACAGACTAATAAATTCTTCTTAAAGTCAATGCATGTGGCGTTGGTATTCATGTCTATCCACAACCTTCTGTCTTGTTTACTTTCAATCAACTCAGATATACATGATCCTCCATGCCATGATGTCAAACTGTCCAGCAAATCTTCTTTCTTTCTCTCTCTCTCTCTTTCTCTCTCTCTCTCTCTCTCTCTCTCTCTCTCTCTCTCTCTCTCTCTCTCTCTCTCTCTCTCTCTCTCTCTCTCTCTCTCTCTCTCTCTCTATCTTTCCTCCAACTTTTTTTATCGTCACGATGTACTCCAGCTTTCTCCTTCTCATAACATGACAAAAGAATGTAGATTGTCTCTTTCTGATGAGCGCATTCGGTTCTCTTCGTGAGTCAGTTTATTTCAAGACATTGTCATTACTTTTTTTTTTTTTTTTTGTCCAGGGTATTCTCATCATTTGTCTATAAAACCACACCTCCGCAGCTTCCAAATAATTTTTCGCTAATCTACTAACTGCCCATGATTCACTTTCGAATACCAGGACAGCATTTATTAGGAATTGTCTTTATAGTCTCAACTGATAAAGAAAGATGACAAAAAATATTCTTCCCTTTGTGAAATGTTGGATTAAAAAAGCAGACAAACAATTTAACGCACCACATGTAAAATAAACAGCATTCTGTCTCGGAAGCTGAAATATTTTGGTCATATCAAGCGCAACGACGGACTGGAAAAATAATAGCAGAAGGCATGGTACCAGGAAGGAGGGACAGGGGCCGACCAACACGAAGCTTGGCACAGGATATAAGGGACTCCTTGAGTATGAATGAAAATACATGAGGCGGTATAGATAGATAGATAGATAGAGATAGATAGATAGATAGATAGATAGATAGATAGATAGATAGATAGATAGATAGATAGGTAGATAGGTAGATAGGTAGGTAGGTAGATAGTAGGTAGGTAGATAGATAGATAGATAGGTAGATAGATAGGTAGATAGTAGATAGTATAGATAGATAGGTAGATAGGTAGGTAGGTAGGATAGGTAGGTAGGTAGGTAGGATAGATAGTAGGTAGGTAGATAGTAGATAGGTAGGTAGGTAGGTAGGTAGGTAGGTAGGTAGGTAGGTAGATAGATAGATAGATAGATAGATAGATAGATAGATAGATAGATAGATAGATAGATAGATAGATAGATAGATAGATAGATAGATAGATAGATAGATAGATAGATAGATAGATAGATAGATAGATATAGATAGATAGATAGATAGATATAGATAGATAGATAGATAGATAGATAGATAGATAGATAGATAGATAGATAGATAGATAGATAGATATAGATAGATAGATAGATAGATAGATAGATAGATAGATAGATAGATAGATAGATAGATAGATAGATAGATAGATAGATAGATAGATAGATAGATAGATAGATAGATAGATAGATAGATAGATAGATAGATAGATAGATAGATAGATAGATAGATAGATAGATAGATAGATAGATAGATTCGATAGATAGATAGATAGATAGATAGATAGATAGATAGATAGATAGATAGATAGATAGATAGATAGATAGATAGATAGATAGATAGATAGATAGATAGATAGATAGATAGATAGACAGGCTGAGAGATAGACAAATACTTTTCTCTTCTTATGCGATGTGGGGTTGGTAATCATGTCTATCCATATCATTCATAAACAGCCTATCATTTCAGATAAAAATGCTCGTCCATTTCATGATGTCAGATTGTTCAACCGCCCTCTCTCTCTCTCTCTCTCTCTCTCTCTCTTGCTCTCTCTCTCTCTCCTCTCTCTTTCTCCCTGTCTTCCTTGCATCTCCTCCTCTCCAACCTTCTTGTCTTCACCACACACTCCAGCTGTCAGCTTTCTCGTAACGTGCTTAAAAAAATTAGGATCGGCTGCTTCTGGTGGAGAAAAGACGTCTGCACAGAAATTAGCTGACAAAAATCGACTGACTATGTCTTCTCCGGCCTGCTAACATTTACAGTCTCAGTCTAGTTGGCAGACCGGCAATCCAGATTCCAGGTACCCCATTTAATCTGCAAAGATATAACTAGGGCACAGGTAACGACTGCAATTCCAGCCTACCATCCTTCACAAACTCCACTAACATAATCTACCAAGAATTACCCCATTCCCACGACCTACCATCCCATTCACACATTGCACCGCCTCATTCTCACAACTTACCGCCCCATTCACACAAATGACCACCCTTCACACAACTGCAACTCCATTGACACAAACTACCATCCCGTTCTCACAACTTACAATCCCATTCAAACAATTCACTGCCTCATTCACACAACTTGCTTCCCCTTCACAGAAACTGCCGCCCATTCACACAACATATCGAGCCTTCATACAAACTTCCCAGGTCGACCCAGCCTGAATGGGTACCGGGTGCAGTCCCGGGAGAAAGAGACGGCCGGCGTGATGCTGACCACATCACCCATCTTGTGCCGATTGGTCTATAAAAATATAGGTCTAGCCCTATACGCCCTATACGCCTACAGGCGTGGAAAAGGGTCCTTTACTTTTACTTACATACAAACTGCCGCCCTTTCACACGACTTACCAGGGGCCTCTGGGTCCACTGTTGTATCTTTTATTTGAGGAACATTTCGAGGGTCTGCTATGTTGTGTCCGTGCTGCAAATCCTGCAAATCTGGTCCCTGTCTGTTCTCCACATGCATATCAACCTTGCCTTTTCCACCAGCATTGCCGCCTATATCTGCGTTTGCATGGGGCTGCGGAACTGGAACTTTCTTGAACAGCACATCCTGGTGGTTCTCTTGGGGGTGTATCTGCTCCCGAGGCTGGATATTATGTTCATTTTTCTGCTCACTATGAACATTCTCTTCAATACTATTATCGTTTCGGTTTTTATCACTACCAGCATCATCGACTAGCGTTCTTTTAGTATCCGTAGAAAAGATGAAAAGTGACAGTATATAAAACAAGAGAATAGCGCAAATAATTTTGATGATGAAACTCCGCCGTCTTCTGAAGAAGCTCGCCATGTGAACGGCAGTTAACTGCAAGTCACTTGCAGTTAGTAATTAAACGGTGGGGGTTAAAGGTCGAGTTCCCGGTGATCAGGCAAAATATCCACCCTTGTAAATGCGGTCAATCCATTTAGTCTGGTTGTCAGTTCTGGAAATATCAGAAAGTTCTGACAGCTGATGTTGGATACGAGTTCCTGCTAAAAGTATGACAATATGCAGACAGATGACATTCCTTGTGATTCAGTACAGAAAGTTATCACAAATGGGTTACAGCTAAGATGATCTGTGACTCCTTCCTGAAAGTAACCCAATCTGTTATCACACAACTGGTATTTTACGTGATTCAGTGCAGAAGGTACCACAAAAGTGTTATCGCAAATCCGATATTGTAAATGAAAATACACAAAGTGTCACAATTTGCTTACTGCCGCCGTTGTAAATTGCTGGGAGCTCAAACTATGCGTGATTCAATTCCAAAAGCAAAACTGTCTGCACAAAGACACAATGTGCTTCCGTGCTAAAATTACCATCATCTGCTCACAGTTGAAATGTATGTGATTATAAACTGAAAGTATCACAGTTTGCTCACAGCTGAAATTACAGGAGCTTCACTATTAAAAGTATCACAGTTTCCTCACAGTGGCTGATGCCCTTTACCTCAGTAATGAAAGTTCCACAGTATCTGCTGTGCTTGTCTAAAAATAATGAAAGTATCACAAACTGCCAACTGCTGATGTCTCAGCTAGTTGTTTCTCAGATTTCAAAGGGCTTTACATAAAAACACCCTGACCACAAAGACAGATTGCGGCAAATCTTATTTTTCTATCAAAAATACGACAAGTGACTGAAGATGCCACGTTGATGTGATCAGACCGAAGGAGAATACAATTAATGTATTTCAGGTGGGCTGCTTTCTTTCAGTGAGAACAGGCCTTTACTCCCCGGGTCTTGCACGCCGCTGCAATCCTGAAACAACAGCAACAGAAGAATTGGGTTATACAGTAGCTAGAAATCAAAGTTACATAAAGAAAACAATGAATACAGTAAATGCGCATAAAACAAGTCTAGTTCGATAAGGTGTAATCAAGTTTAAATATTAGCTACGATGCGGAGAGAGAGGGAGAGAGAGAAGAGAGATGAGAGACAAAAGAGACACATAGAGTAGGTAAAAGAGAGACGGGTGAGAGAGGAGAGAATGAAGAGACAGAGGGGATAGAGGAGAGGCATAGGGGAGAGAGGAGAGAAAGGAGACAGAGGAACGACAAAGAGAGAGGGGAAATAAGAGAAAGGAGAGGAGAGCGCCAGTCGCGGTGGCGTAGTGGCTAGATGTTTGTCTGTAGGTATAAAGATCTTGCGTTCGAATCCGTACTCAGGAGAAATTGTCCCCCAAAACTTGGCTTACCAACCTGAAATGGGTACCAGATAACATTATGAAAAGTAAAGGCAGCCGACGTGATATGTGACCAGATCACATACCGAGCGCCCTATTAAAATACGGATGTCCAAACGACGTAACTGTTTATTTCCATGAAATGCAGTATAAGCCTGTGCATATGTATTTTTCCAGAGCATCTGTTGGTTTTATAAATACTAGCTCATTATCCCTATTACTGTGCCATACATTCGCCCAAAGTACATCCCTAGCCGACAAGACGACAGACTATAAATGGATCACAGAGTTTCCACGAAGAACCTAACAGTAAATGTTCAGCGGTACTTGGTTACAACTCTAGTACTTTGGGATCAATTCTCAGCGAAAACAAATATCGAAAATCTTTTTCTGTTTATACTGTCTCACATCCTCTCCTCTTGTCTTATTCTCGTCCCCTACACAGTCAACTCCTACGGTGTCATTCATTCATTCATTCATTCATTCATTCATTCATTCATTCATTCATTCATTCATTCATTCATTCATCTGTTGTGCCATAATATGGCACACAGGACTCGCTGTGAATTTCTCCATTCAGTTCTATCCTTATGCCATCATTTGAATATTACAGATGGAATCCACTCCAGTGATTCCGGCTTCTCTCATTAATGTTTGCTTTAAGCTTTCTCTTGGACGCTTAGTTTCTGCAGCAAATAGCTTTTTTTAAAAACAAGATATGGAAGCTTCCCTACGCCCAACCCTCCTCCTTTCACATCCGGGCTGGCAACCGGCAATGGCGGAGATCAAGACGACTCTTGTCAAGGCGTGCTCCATTTTTATTTTATTTTCTCACGGCCCGCAGACAATAATGTGGACTGTCTACTTCTGGTGCGGTATAACCAGTTCTATTTGTGGGTTAATTTCTGTTAAGACAAGTTAATTCCAACGGAACACAAAGAACTGCTTATGTACACACAAACACAAGCGGCAATACAGACCGATTTCGGAACACACTTTACTCTTGTAAGCGAGTCTACAAATAAAATGATTGTTGACATTGTACAAGTATTTCAACTGCTACTACAGCATTCATCATGATAAAAGGAGAGCTGTTATACTTTGCTGTCCTGTTGGTTACAGTCAGGCTGCGATAGTTATGCCTTTTCGCAAAACACAGTGGATTTCAACAAACCGCAAATTAATCGTCTATAAGACATGATTGTTGGGGGAGGGGGAGGGGGATCATGGGTCCATCCCCCCACCCCCGAATAATAATTTAAAAAAAAAAACATCCAAACCTGGAGTTATATTTAAAATCAGTTACCTTTTTAAAAAAGTTTACGCTAAAACAATGTTTTCCTGTTGTAAACTAACAGGCAATAAATGGTGCAACGTACTGTTTGTGTCCAAATTATTTAAATACTAAAACGTTAGTGAAACCAAAGTTTCCATAAAACATACGCACATGCCAATGCTAACTAATGAACATATGAAATGTTAGTAGACAACTAATGAGTGAAGAAAAGTAACTATTCTCTCACTAATGAACATATGAAATGTTAGTAGATAGCAAATGAGTAAATAAAGGTAAATATTCTCTCACTAATGAACATATCAAATGTTAGTAGATAACTAACAAGTATGTTAGTAGATAACTAACAAGTAAATAAAAGTTCTATTCTCTCACTAATGAACATAAGAAATGTTAGTAGATAACTAATGAGTGAAGAAAAGTGACTATTCTCTCACTAATGAACATGTGAAATGTTAGTAGAGAACTAATAAGTGAAGTAAAGTGACTTTTCTCTCACTAATAAACACACGAAATGTTAGTAGACAACTGATAAAGTGACTATTCTCTCACTAATGACCATACAAAATTTTAGTAGACAACTAATGAGTGACGAAAAGTGACTATTCTCTCACTAATTAAAACATACAAAATGTTAATAGACAACTAACGAGTGAAGAAAAGTGACTATTCTCTCACTAATGACCATACAAAATTTTAGTAGACAACTAATGAGTGACGAAAAGTAACTATTCTCTCACTAATAAACATACGTTAGTAGAGAACTAATAAGTGAAGTAAAGTGACTTTTCTCTCACTAATAAACACACGAAATGTTAGTAGACAACTAATAAAGTGACTATTCTCTCAATAATGACCATACGAAATGTTAGTAGAGAACTAATAAGTGAAGTAACGTGACTATTCTCTCACTAATAATTATACGAAATGTAAGTGAAGAAAAGTAACTATTCTCTCACTAATAAACATACGAAACGTTCGCAGACAACTAATAAGTGAAGTTAAGTAACTATTCTCTCTCTCTACTGAACATACTAAATGTTAGTAGAGAACTAATGAGTGAAGTAAAGTAATTAATCTCTCACAGCTGAACAAACGAAATGTTAGCAGACTGCAATGAGGAAGAAAAGTGACTATTCTGAGCCACCAATGAGCATTTGGTGTACTGCCAAATACACAAACCTAAAAGTGACTGACATTACCAACCAGTACTGAACACACACAGTTTAGTTGAGACTGCCACGTGTGTGTAGTCTACAGACACAAAGAAGCCTTCGACTACAGATTACAGATAACTAACATACTAGTCTAGTCTAACCTCGGGACCCTGGAGCTTAACAGCAATGATTCCCAAGCAGTGTCCTCGCAGTAGTCAAAATTATAGGGCTGTTCTCAACAGCGTGGGGTAATAAGCTCCTAGATTTTTACCTGTCAATTAGATACTTAACTAGAATGTCTTTGCATTCGAACCCACAGGGGCATATGAATAAAGGAAGGCCAAAAAAGTACATGGAGAAGAGAGCTGGAGAATAAAGTTAGAAAGATTTGGAGGACATGGGGAGAACTCCATGCAATAGCGAAGGATAGAACGACTCGGCGTGAGTTGGTGGAGGGCCTATGCTCCATTGGGGGATAGAAGCATAAGTAGAAGAATAAAAGATACTGGCGTCCTTATGCGGGATGCAGTTTTTAGTTATTTGGAAGCCCTACCCTGGCTTTTGCTGGGGGGCCTAAACATAGCCGAACCTTAAATATGAGATAACGGCTGAACGGGATTTCTGGGACCCCTCCACGCGTGATCCTCATCCGTTTGGTGGCATTTTGTGTCACCTGATGTTTATCGCTTGTGTGACGTCCTGGTGGGGTACAACTCACCTACCTATCAATCCATTTAACATCTATATTCTTAGCATATTCTCTACTAATCTAGTAAGCATAGAAACATGTACCTCTTTCTCAGCCAAAATAATAAATATAAAAGCTTTTAGTTCATTCCCACCAAATCTAGTAAATATCTACAATTATATCCCCAGCTCTACCAATGATCTATACATATGTGCAACCGCAAGACCGTGTAGAACGTAGCATATGTAATTATGTGTACTCTTGAAACCATATTCAGTTATTATTTTCATTTTAGTCTGCCTTTCTCTATGGCCATTGAGCTGGAAACTAAAAATATTGAAAATACCAAGAAGTTTCAAAAACAAATCCGTCGTTAAAATGTGACATTATCTTGTAACCTGTCAGTACTGTTGTTAAGGACTTCAAGAGTGTCTAGCAGACTAACATGGTAACGACATACTAACAGTTTAAAAATTGCTGTCCCAC